TTGATTAATGACATCCACCACCCACTTATGGGCCCACATGAGCAATTTCAAACCCATCTCTGACAACTCCTCCCTTACACTACCCAACATCAAGTCAATAAGATCTTTCTAGTCAGTCTCCTAAAAAGCTCTTCAATCTGTCTATAATTCCACTATTACCTATGTAATTATCTCACAACCAACTAGTTTCCCTGAAGCCAATTTCAACTTTTTAAATCTAACTGCCACACTCAACAGTGTGTTTTTCCCCCCTTAAATAGTTGTTTACTGGTCAATGGTGTTACTTTTGAACAAAGTGTTCCTTAACTAGCTTAAAACTCTCCCATGACTCCCTAGCACCTACAAAATAAAATTTAGACCCTTCAACAAAGCCATCCACAATTGGGCTTTCCTCATATCCCATGATCTAGCCACATTAAACCACTGGCCCACACACAGGTCCACACCCTTGTAATTCTGTACCCTTGTGCAAGCTGTCCTCTGCATTTGAAACACTGCCCTCTCTGATCCTCTTGTTGAAGCAGCCAAATTGTATTCATCCTTCAAAACCCTACTGACTCTTCTAGGAAGCCTCCAACCTTCTCCTGTCCCCACTATGGAGAACCAGTGCTCCCATAGCTCTTAGTGCAGATCTCTAAAATAGCAACTTACTGTACTGATTCATATTTATGTTAGTCTCCAATTAAATAGTGAGCTCTTTAAAAACAAGGATATGTCCTTCACATCCCAGTGCCTAGCACAATGCCTAATACAATGTCTGCTAAATTTGATTGCTAAAAGGATTGACTCCAACATTTTTCAGTGAGACGAGTCCAAAAAGGTTGAGATTCAAGCCTAGTTTTGGCTCACTGGTGAAAAGAAAACACACTTCACAAATTCATGCTTATGTTATTTCTAGTTTTTCATATTTTCCCTACTAGCTTCAGGGTTAGTTACCAGAAAATTAGTAACTAAGTCTTTTGTCACCCCTTAAATTACCTATATTTTCCCATGAAACAGTACAACCCAGTATTGTACCAAATCACAATTTTTTAACTGAGTCATAAATCTGATAACTTATTCCTACCCTCCTTGTATTAAAATATGCATCTTTAATAAAGAAAATTTACCATTTTTCCTCTTGAGTGCTTTTCACTCTTAGTTACAAAGCTCTGAAAGGGACATAATCAAGACCTTGATAGGCAGCGAAAAGACAGAAATAAATATTAAACACTTCTCTGCTGAGAAAGCATTCATCTCTCACCAAGAGTAGTGACTTCACAGTTATCCCCCACTCTGGTCAGCAGCCCTT